TGGTATTTATTCACCACTAATTTTAGGTCTGTTTAAATGATTTAAAACAAACAAACAAACTCTCAGCTGCAATCTGTATCTGTACATTGGTGTTCTGCTTTGTTCACACCGTGACCATAAATGAGCACATAATCAGCAGAGGCAAATGCTAGGGTAAATAGAATAGAATAGTTGTTTGAACATCACCGCTCAGTGGAGAGGAGAGAAGCAGAGCAGTGCGCAAAAAATCAGCATGACTTATTTTCCATAATGCATCAGAGTTTACTTGGAATTTCCATTGGTCAAAGCATGGTAACTTGGATGCGGTGCATAGAAATAAATGAGCATAGAAATAAAAGAGAAAAACCTAAACTGTGCCTTGTAAAAACTCAAGGCATTGCCTCTCATCCATCCACCTATACTCTCAACCCTTTTAAATCATGATAAATGGTTTGTTTAGGTCCTAAAGGTGTAGCTTTAACCAATGCAAGTTTTGGGTAGTATGTGTATTCCTCCTGGAACATGTGCACATCATCTGAAAGAAAAGGCTCTGGTGATGTAGCCTTCCCAGGATGCATCTGTGAGGCCCTGGTTACATCACCAGTGCCTCACTCAACCAGGAAGTGGAAAAACAGTAACCTACATACTGATATGCTTTTTAGTTAAAGAGAAAAGGCCTGCTTTAACTAAAAAAAAAAAAAAAAAGAAGTACAAATGTTTTATTGTTTGGGCAGGACCAGTTCTCTTTTTACTTCTTGTAGGCATACCTAGAAATACAGGCCCTAAGCGGAAACCTTCCTGATGGCTACAAAGACCGCAATGAAAGCCTGTAATGATTTAATCTTTCCCTATGAAACGTGGTGCTGAAGATCCATTGTAATATAATGTTATATACAGGCATACCTCAGCGTACCAATTTAATGCGTTCTCTGGGACGTTGCGTATTGCGAAAAATTTGTAAACCGAAACGCGGTTTCCCATAGGAATACATTGAAGACCAATTAATCCGTTCCAGAGGTCAGAAAAAAGTAAAAAAAAATAGTATTTTACCTGTTCAAAACTTTATAAAGTGCACTTTAAAGACATGAATACTGTACACGGACATGATTAAAAATTAATTTGTAAATGCATTGAAAACCAATTAATATGTTCTGGAGGTCAGAAAAAAAGTCTTATTTATAAAGTGCACTTTAACCATTAGCCGCCCGGCCAATGGCCGTTTGGCGGCTTGAAAAGCGCTGCAGCTTTCCGGGTGCACGCCATTTGGCGTGCTCCGCGCACATGCGCGGTTTGCGCGGTTGCAGAGCGACGCAGCAGTGCAATCTGTCACCGCCCGTGCACCTCGGACACGGCCGATGACAGATCCGAGTATCGGCTCCCGTTGCTGGTACCATGTGACCTGCTGTGACCAATCACAGCAGGTCACATGTATACAATGGATGGCTTCATTCATGATGCCATCCATTGTATACTAGTGCCTAGCTGTGAATGGTCACAGCTAATCACATGCACATGTCATGTGATTAGCTGTGACCAAATCACAGATAAGCAAAAAAAAAAAAAAAAAAAAAAAAAAAAAAAAAAAAGCTGAATGAATCGATTTCATTCAGGTAAATGCTTGCTTATAGCAAAGTAATTCTTTGCTATAAGCAAATTGTGTAAAAAAAAAAAAAAAAAATACTGATCACTTCCCCAAAGTAGTACAGTGTTACTATGGTAACATTGTACTATTTTGGTCATAGTAAAATATGAAAAAAAAATCTTAAAAAAAAATAAAAAAAAAAATGTAATAAAAAATTAAATATAATAAAAAAAAATTAAAAAAAATAAAAAAAAAAAAGATATTTTTTTTTTTCATACTGTCACTAGTCAGTGTCGCTGTTCACCGCCATGCCAGTTATATGATGACACTGTACTGCACTGGTGACAGCAGTATGTAAAAAAAATAAATAGTGAAAATAATTTTTTAAATTTTTTCATTTTCCGAAAAATTATGACAAAAAAATACAACTTCAAAAAAACTCACCATGCCTCTTATGAAGTACGTCGGACTGTCTACTCTGCAAAAAGGGGTCATTTGGGGGATATCTGTACTGTTCTGACATTCTTGGACCTCAAGATATTAGATTGGCTGTCAGTACTTCAGGATTGATCAATATTCAGATCTATACCATAGTTTGTGAACTCTATAACTTTCCTACAAACTAAAAAAAATACATCCTAATTTGGGTTATTTTCACCAAAGACATGTAGCAGAATACATCTTGGCCTAAATTTATGAAGAACAATTATTTATTTGTAAACTTTTATAACAGAAACAAAGAAAAATGTGTTTTTTTTTTCAAAATTTTTGGTCTTTTTTTGTTAATTTAGCAAAAAAAAAAAACCCCAGCGGTGATTAAATACCACCAAAAGAAAGCTCTAGTTGTGTGAGAAAGAAAATGATCAAATTTTAGTTTGGGTACAATGTTGTATGACCGCGCAATTGTCATTCAAAGTGTGAGAGCGCTGAAACCTGAAAACTGGCCTGGGCAGGAAGGTGTAAAATTGCACGGTATTGAAACGGTTAAAGGCACGAGGCCGGCGCTATAAACCTCCCAATGCATCTTGGGGAAACTTACTTTGTATTGCAAAAAAACTTAGTAAATCGAGCCATTATTTTCAATGGATTTTCATTTGTAAACCGAAAATCACATTAACCGAGGCGTTTGTAAACCGAGGTATGCCTGTATATTACATATTTTATAGAAGGCACCTATCAGAACTTCCCTTTTTGGTTTCAGTTGAGCATATTTTTCTCTACTTCCCTCATATAAATAAAGGCTTTTGAGTTCATCTTGTGTAAGAAGCCAGTGGTCTGAGAGTATGTAAGGTTCAGGTGATGTTGCATGATCTGTTCTAGGCGTGCCCAGCATACATTAACACAAGGACAGTCCTTGACCTGTTGTGAAACCATATTCCGCACTAGTTATAAAATATGAAGACATGTTTATGAAGTTGCATATCTTGAGCCACAACGCACATCACTGTTCATGTAAAACCAGATAGGAAGAGAGAAAATGTATAATATAGGGCAAAGGGCTATTCCCAATTGGAATATTTTGGTGCTTTTCAATCTCAATCCATTTTGTCCTTTTCTTGTGTTTTTTTTTTTCTCGTGTTCATTCCCTTGTTAGTGTCTGTACATCTAAAAGTGACATTTTAAATATAGGTAGAATTCGATGGGCTGAATCAGTCCTTGGTGTCTTATACAGTGGTTTACTAATTTAATGCGTTCTCTGGGATGTTTCGTATTGCAAAAAATTTGTAAACCGAAATGCGGTTTCCCATAGGAATGCTTAAAAAAACATCTCTACACAATCGACGCCACGTGCTACCCACAGACTTCAGCATGCACGGGGGCGGTGGCGCTATAAATCTCCAAGGCGCAATGCATCCTGAGGAAACTTGCGAAAAAAATTTGTAAACCGAAGGAATTATGTTTAATGGATTTTCATTTTTAAACCAAAAATTATGTTAACCGAGGCGTTCGTAAAAACCGAGGTACCACTGTGTGTCCTGGACACTTCAACAGACCTCCTTGACTTTGTCCACTTGAGGTTTAGGTGTTCCTGTTCATCTTTGCCTGTTCCAGTATCTCCTTTTGCATTCTTAATATAAAGCAACTAAAAACAAATTACTAAGGTGAGGGAGAACATCTTATAAGGGCCCCAACAAGTGTGCAGACCCGAGATCCCAGGTCCTTGGATCTTGCCAAAAGGTACTCTAAGATACCTGGCATTAACAAGTGGTAGCTTAGTATTAGCAGCTGGTGCACACATTGATACATATGCACACATTCACTGTAATAGTGAAATGGAAATGTTGACATTACAGAGGATTTCCAGGATTTGGTAACATTAAACACTGCTTCATGCATTTTTTTATAGGACCAAGGAGCATTTCATCTGCTTTCCCTAAAAACAAGCAATAAAATGCAGTGCTACCTGCTGGTAAAATACTTTATCGTATGTGATGGGATGGTACCTGGCATGTATCTGTAGTTAAAATTATTTCTTTTTAGTGAGGGCTAGAACCATTGTAGAGTTTCTTTTGCTGCCTGTGTCCCTTCTGGGGGTCCTGTTGACACGTTATCTGTAACCAGAAGTAAGGAGAATATCTTCAGACAGCAAAAAAGGGGATCTAATTCTTCCCTACTCTGACCAAAACTAAAAAAAAAAACCTTTTGGTTATAGACACTTTGGCTACATTCACAGTGGTGATTTAGGACAGTATGAATTGTAGCGACAGGAATCTTCTGATTTGGGCTGTGGTTCTGAGCGGCTAGGTGCGGCTGCCAGCCCTGTTCACTACAATAACAAGTGCCTGGCAGCCACAGCTATTCATGGCTTGCCGCCCAGCCAGCAGTTACCTGTGGTGATCGCTGCTGGTCAAACTTTGTGTCCAGGAGCAATCACCGTATATGATCGCTGGCTATGAAGATCTGAAGCCACCGGCCACTTGCCATTATAATGAATTGGGCCAGCAGCTGCACCTAGCCACTCCAGAACCACAGCCCCAATCAGAAGATTCCTGCCATTATAATTTGCACCAATTTAAATCACTGCTGTGAATGTATCCTTTGGGTTCACCAATGAAAATACACAGAGGACCCAGGTTTTAATTGTTGCTTATAGGTGAATGTGCTTGAATTCCTTATTCGTGTTTCACTTGAAAGATATGCAACAGATATAAAACCGGCCTAGAAAAGCTCTTGTATAGGAAAATAAATGTCTAGTCTTTTTATAGCATTTTTACATATATGTGTAAAAAAAAAAAATACTTGTAAATTTGTAGTGTGATACAACAAAAGGAATTTGCTGTGTACCATGCTTAAAATGTAGACTTATTTTTTTTTACATGTAAGTGTTTAGAAGGGTGGTTGTGTTTTTATTTGGAGAACGTTCCCTTAGGAAATTGTGTAACATTAGGAAATATGAACTATGTATAACATACTCCATTATTTTTTTTCTGTGTTATAGGTCAGGATGGCTTTCTAACTGGCTCCCAGCCTGGTGTCCCACATCTGGGGCTCAACTAAAGGAGGCTGAAGAGAAAATGCTAAAATGTAAGTGATACCGAACTGTGGAATTAACCCTTCTCCAGTGTTGATGTGAATTTTAGAATTTTTCACCATGTTTTTGAAATCTATCTATCTATTTTGCCAGAAGGTCTGATGGTCCTCATGTAAGTACGACGAGGTAGTCCTGGTATTGCTTGTTCCTTCCTTGTCTGGCTTTTTTCTGTGGCATAGTTGATGACATGACATTGCAAACCCTTGAAGTGGACCAATGGGTATATAGAATGTGAGGGTTGGGTGGCATATTTCTTGGGCTTAAAGGTCAAGAACTTCTAAAAAGAATATCTGCAAGGAATCGTAATCTCAACAAGAGTTTTTTCTATCTCAACAAGAGTTTTTCTATAGCGTCCAGGGCTTTTTTTTTTTCTCAGAAAATAGGTGCAGGAACTTCACCATGACCCCCTAGTGCCTCTGACATATTTAAGGGTGGTTCACAAAAAAAAAATTACATAGACACACACCCCCTCCAAGCCACATCAAATAGTGGGTGTGGTTACATTTTAACAGTGGGAGGGTTTTACAGGGGCATTAAATACCAGAAGAGTATTATGTGGAGAGGGCAGAGTTTGGGGGGGGGGGGGGTTACACAGCGTGCAGAGTTCCAGGGTGTGCTATGTACATAGTGCAGAGTTCAGGGGTGCACTTTTTCCATAGCTGCTTACCTCTGCATGCCGAAGCCGGACTTCTGTGTTTGCAAGTGATGGTGGTGAGCAGGGAGCAGAGGGCCTGAGCCCGAGGTGGTGGAACTGAGTTCCACCAAGTTCCAATTGAAAAAAGCCCTGATAATCTCTAAGTCTGTGTTCACACCTATGTGTTTTCCATTGCGTTTTGCAGAAACGCACAGCAGTCCATTTAACATGATTTCCTATGGGACACGTTTGCATCTCCGCATTTTCACCCGGTGCGTTTTTTGGAAAGGATCAGGGACTTTTTGAAACGCCAAACTTTGCATTTTTGGTTCAATAGACTTCAATGCAGATGCTGCAGAAATGCATGTAGTGTATTTTTGATGCGTTTTTGACACTTTGTGTTTTAATCTGCCCAGCAACAAGTTGGGGAAAAAAAATGTCAAACGCATGTGCAAAAAAGCACTGCAGAAATGGATCTAACACAAACTGCATATGTGTGAACCTAGCCTAATAGCTGACCTGTTTCAGTCCCCAAGCAGTGCATCCTAAGTGGGGCTTTGGAATCACCTCTATCAAGCTCCATAAACACATGAGCATTTTGGATCGTGAGCAGAACCGCCACGATTCTGCCTTTAAAATGGCACCTGAAAATGTGGTTCCGTGATTTGTCTTTTTAGCAGAGCATTTTGGAACGCCCATATGTGATTGCAGCCTAATGAAGTTGTTTTACCTATGGTTTTGGTAGACTTGTTTTTTTAAAATGAAGATTCTGACTTGATGCTGTGAGACACATTGACACAAGAATATGTTTCTGCATAAATGGAATAACTGAGATTGTCCAGAAAGGCCGTGACAAAACAGGTTCTTCACCCATACCTGCATGCATGTCAAACTACATTATTTACTATGAATCAGTCGGCTAACAACTATGCAAGTGAGCACATCAGCGGACATTGGTAGCCCAAGGACACTTCAGAGCTTTGCTGAACATTGATGTCAGAAGGAAACAAGTGACTCAGTGACAGCTTGCTTCCTTACAGTTAAAGCTGTATACACACCTCAAATATGTACATATTGACTGTTGTGCTGCCAAAAAATGTATTCATGGAATGGAATTATTTTTTATTTAAAGGCTAATTTCAGCTTTTGGAACATGCTAGTAACATGTTACACCCATATTTAGGGTGTAACAAGTGACATGTTCCTAATCACCTACCCCCAGAGGGGTTCCTCTCCCTCACAGCCACTGTCACATTTAAAATTGGTGAAGCTGTCTGGAGCTCTGCCCGCACCCCCACTTCATGCATTTACAGAGGTCTGGGAATAAATAAACTACTAGTGGTGCACTGAAATGAAAATTCTTGGACCGATACCGAAAATTCAGGATGCTTTTGGCTGAAAACCGAACGCACAGTTTTTTGTTTTTTTTTTTATACATAATTGTATTATATTTGACTTTTAAATTAATATCATGAATTTAAATTAATATGAATTTATTTTCAGCACCTTTTGGCCAATAGGCTGCTTTCAGAGTGAGCAGTTTTTTGCAGTGCTTTTGCGTAAAAAAAAAAAAAAAAAAAAAAGGCACAAGAAAAATGCATCCCTTAAAATTTGATGCATGTCTTCACATTTGTTTGTTGCAGTACCTTGCGGTGTTAAAAATCCTTCTTGCTGCATTTGTGGTGTATATTTGGCGAGTTAAAAAATGCACCTCCTCATTGAGGCCTGGTTCACACCAATTTTCTAGAGATTTTTGCAGAAATTCACTATAGTCCATTTAGCATGGTTTCCTATGGGACACGTTCACATCTATGATTTTTTGCGCTGCCGCGTTTTTGGACCAGGGGCTTTTTTTAAATGCAAAATGTTGCATTTTTGTTTCTATAGACTTCAATGGAGATGCTGCAGAAGCCCCATGTAGTGCATTTTTGACGCGTTTTCATGCGTCTGCCACGTTTTTTATGCGCAAAACACAGTAAAAAAAAAGTGTCAAAAGTGCGTGCCAAAACGCACTACAAAACGGGACAAAACCAAACTGCATTGGTTTGAACCAGGCCTGAAATGCATTGAAAATGCAGCAAAAATGCACGTGTTGCATTTTTGATGCGTTTTGCATTTTTAATCTGCTCAGCAACAAGTTGGCAAAAAACATTTAAGAAAACGCTTCAAAAATGCAAAACAGACTGCACAAAGCACTGCACAATGGACAAAACGCAGACTTCATTGGTGTGAACCAAGCCTGAACGCATAAAAAAAAAAACACACCGGTGTTGCCTTTTTGATTTGTTGTCAATCTGCTCAGCAACAAGTTGGCCAAAATAAATTTAAAAAAAAACAAAATGCTTTAAAGTGCCAAAAATGTGCATGCAAAAATGCAAAACTGACAAAATGCAAACTGCATTGCTGTTCACCAGGCCTGAAATGCATTGAAAATGCATCAAAAACACGTGAAAAACGCTCTGCAAAAAGCACTGCAAAATGGAGAAAACACAAACTTGGTGTGAACCAGGTCTGAAATGCATTGAAAATGCATAAAAAACGCACAGGTGTTGCGTTTTTTATGCTTTTTCAATCTGCCCAGCAACAAGTTGGCCAAAAGAAAAATAAAAAAAAAAAATGCAAAATGCATCAAAAAACGCGTATAACGTGCATTCTAAAATGCAAAACAGACAACATGAAAGCTGCACTTTTATGAACCAGACCTGAAATGTGGCAAAAATGCATGTATTGCTTTTTTGATGCATTTTTAATCTGCCCAACAACAAGTTGGCAAGAAAAAACATTAAAAAACCGCATCAAAAATGCGTCAAAAAAGCAAAATGGACAAAGCGCAAACTACATTGGTGTGAACCAGCCCTGAAATGCATTAAAACACAAAAAAAACGCACACGAGTTGCATTTTGATGCATTTTTTGTCGATGACATGACCTATGAAATAATCACCTTAAACATGGTAAAATAGCAGGTATAATCGTGCGTTTTTCTACGACCATTATCGACACATTTTTACCTATTGCCAAAATGCCGATGACACTATTTTCGGCCGATACATTTTGGCCGCCAATATTTTGATGCATCCCTATAAACTTCAAGTCCTGTCTGCCACCGCAACACACAACTGGTTGTTCTCAGTGCACTACAAATACGCATATCAGGGCACTCTTAGTCCATTTCAAAAAGCAGCAAACAAAAATTCCCAGCTCACTTGCCAGCCAGCTGGCAACAACCTGAATTAAAACAGTTTACAGTAAAAGGAGTTTAGTTTTGCACAAATTTATGTGTAAACTGCAGAGGCCATGTCAAGGCACCCCATGTACTGCAGTCCTAACTCACTAAATCTCCAAAGTTGGAGCACATAAATGATAATGGTTAGATTAAGTGCAGGTATGTCTGGAGGGAGCTCACGCCTCCTTAACCACTTGGTAACCGTGCTATAGCTGAACGACAGCTACAGCGCGGCTACCCAGTTCTGGGAGGGCGTCATATGACGTGCACCCGGCGATCTCCGTGATCGCTGTGTCCTAAGGACACATGATGAGGTAAAAGGCCAATCACAGTGGCCTTTAACCACGTGATCAGCTGCGTCCAATGACACAGCAGATCACCATGTACATACAGTTGCCGGTTATCAGCAGCACTTCCTCATGCTGTCACAATGTGAGGAAATTACTGCCGATAACCAGCAACTGTCACAGAGCAGATCGATGATCAGTGCCCTGCAGTGCTACCCATCAGTGCCACCTATCAGTGCTGCCCAGCAGTTGCGCCCATCAGTGCCATCAGTCAGCGCCGCCCGTCAGTGACCATCATTGCTGCATATCAGTGCCTCCTAATCAATGCCCACCAGTGCAGCCTATCAGTGCTATCTATCCGTATCCACCTCATCAGTACCCATCAGTGGAGCCTCATTAATGCACATCAGTGAAGGAGAAAAATTATCTGTTTGAAAAATTTTATAATAGAAACAAAGAAAAACTTTTTTTTCCCTCACAATTTTTGCTCTTTTTGTGTTTATAGTGCAAAAATTAAAAAAACTTGTGGTGATTAAATATCACTAAAAGAAAGCTCTGTGTGTGAAAAAAAAATTATAAAAATTTCATATGGGTACAATGTTGCATGACCGTGCAATTGTCATTTAAAGTTCTACAGCGCTGAAAGCTGAAAATTGGCCTGGTCAGGAAGGGGGTATTAAGTGCTCAGTAGGCAAGTGTTTAACCACTTGCCCTTCTGAGGATTTACCCCCCCCCCCCCCTTCCTGACCAGGATTTTTTGCATTACTGCACTGCGTTACTTTAACTGACAATTGCACGGTCATGCAACGCTGCACACAAATGAAATTTACATATTTTTTTCCCCACG